TAATAATACGAAAATTTCACATGTGATAATTTAAGACTTCTGATTCTATAATTTTTATTATGTGATTCTGGCTACTTTTTGATCACAATATTTTTTGTAACACACACTATATATATATATATATATATATATATATATAAAGCAACACATAATAAATAATAATAAAGCTATATAAATAATAATAATAAATCAATCACTTTCTTCTTGATCAAAGGATTCTTTAGCAGCAGTAAATGGTTTACTACTATATAAAATTTCTTCTGCCATTAAAATTCTAAAATTCTTAATCTTTTCCATATCAAATGCTTCCTTGATAACTTTATCATCATTTAGACCAGCTGACAATAATTTAGCAAACATACACACAAACACACCACAAGAATGATCATCTAGCTGAGGTGTCTTTTTGTAAAACTTGTTATTAGCTGTCCATTCTATTCCTGAATTTGATGAAGAACAAGGCGATGGTGGTGGTGGTGATGAATTATCTTTATTATTAATATCATCATTACTAATAATAACATTGCTATTAAAAATAGCATTATCATCATTATTACTAATAATAATATTATCAACATTACTAACAACATTATCATTGTCATCATTATCATTATTGTCACTATTGTTATTATGATTCGAATACCTTTGTCTATATTCATCCTGCATATATTTTATAAGATTATTTCCAACTTTCTTTATATATCCTCTACCCAAAGAATCCCATAGTTCGATCTTTCTTTCTTTGATAATGATAACTGCAAGAATCCAATGTGATGCATTGATGTTTATTGGAACAAATAAAAGTTTTTTTTTAAAAATATCAATCTTCTTGGTCCATCTTATAACACGTGAATATGAATATTCGTCACCTTTCATCAACTTCGCATAGAAATATGTTGAGAAAGCATAAACACATTCTCCATATTCCGAATTGAGTATTGTAAAATATGCATTGATATGATCTGACGATAACCATGTAAACTTATCAACAAGATCTTTCATTTGTTTTTGTGTCAGTGAATGTGACCCAATCATAAGTTGTTTTTCATTTTTTTTGTATAGATAATCCACTAGATCTGCACTTATAGTCGGTCCATCTTTGACACGACTAGATCTTTCAGGTGATTGAAATAACGGTGATGATTTTCGTTTTGTTCCTAGTTGACGTCGTAGTGGCCTTGGTGGTTGTTCTTGCTGTTCTGATAATCTTGATGACCATGGTGCTATTAATATTGGTGATGTTGATGGTGTTGATGGTGTTGATGATGGCGATATTGTCGATGGCGATAATGATTTTTTTAATATTTTACCACTATAACTATATGTTTTTTTTATTATTGGTCCTAATGATAATAATAGTAGTAGTAATAATAATGATGATGATGGTTTTTTATATATTGTAAGATAGTATTAGAATTATAATTCTCATAAACAAATTTTTATACAAAGAATTAACTTATATATCATCTTGATCTTTGTACTTGTAGTTTTTGGCATCCAAAAAATCCTTTGATTACGAAATTTTTTATTATTAATATTTTTTTTTGCAAAAAATAAGGAATATATTTATTATATTGATCACAACAATCATTTATTAATTACCCTGGACTTTCTTCAGCATGATCCATTGTATCCACAGCATAAGTATCTTCTCGTTTAGTACTATTTTTCTCTCCAAATTTATTGGATTCAAAGTTCATTTTCTTTTACGAAAAGTGAAAAAGAAAAGAAAAAAAGAATAAAATTTTTTTGCTTCTTTTGTTTGATTACGCGTTTGGAAAAAATAATGATTGATAATAAAGGCTTTGTGAGACACATACTTGTGTAGCATAATAAACTTTTTGTATATATGTGGAGAGTTTTTATTACATAATTCATTCGTCACATAAGATTTTCTTTTTAAAAAAAATGTCTAGTCAACAACAACAACAAAATGGTCAAAATGAAAATTCTATTAAACATATAGTTATATTTGATAAATTATATTTATAATTATATAATTTTTTTAAATTTATATAGAAAACCATGGATAGGTTACGCGGCTTTGTTGGTGACTTTAGTTCCATCAAGTTAATTCAGTTAATGAACAAGTTGCCAGATTTAAAATCAGAACTTTCATACTTTATGGATGCATTCGATCATAAGACTGCTAGTGAAAAAGGTATCATTAAATTATAACAATAATACATATATTATGCAATATATTTTATTAATTAGCTCATGGCCCTAAACTAAATTTGTGAAATTATATAGGTGAATTAATACCGGTCAAAGGGATTGATGCAGAATTTGATAGGATTAATGAAGTATTGAAAAATATTGAAAAACAACTAGATGATCACTTGACAGCCATGAAAAGAAAATTGGGGTAAAATTGGACAGGCATTTTAAGTTAAATTCGAATTTATATAATATATATATTTGTTAATAATTCTATTTTTATAAAACGAAAATAGATGTGACAAACTTATTTACAAAAATGTTGGCAAAGAAATTTATCAAATTGAGGTACCAAATAATACTCAAGTACCAAACAATTGGCAAAGACTTTCACGTACTCAGGTAAATTATGGTTTTTAAATTTTGACCAGTTTATATACTATTGATATCGAAATATTTTTTTAATTTATCAAATTCTAGAAAGTATGTCGTTATTGGAATGCAGATCTGCAAAAGCTTATTAGAAGTTTTCAAGAGACTTTAGAATATAAATCTAATATCCTTAAATCTTTACAAGGGAAGTTTTACGAAAAATTTGACATAAATTATCAAGATTGGTTGCTCTCTGTTAAAATCGTTGCGGAAACTGATTGTTTATTAAGCTTGGTTAAAAGTTCATTGGCATTAGGCGGTAATATATAATTCTTAGTTTTTTGACCCTGAAATTAATTTTATGCCTATTTAAAATTTTCAAATGATGTTTTGTTATTTTATATAGAACCTAGATGTCGTCCTCGATTTATCAAAGAAGGCCCAAGTGTATTAGAATTTGAAGAATTGAGACATCCTTGTGTAATGACAGGGTATGATGATTATCATTTATTTAGAATTAGAATCTGGTTTAAAAAAAAAGAATCAAATTTTTACAGGATTTTATATTTATATTTATTTATTTTATATTAAAAATAAAGTGTTGCAAATGATTTCATACCCAATGATACTTATCTTGGAGGTAAAGAACCAAATATAATTCTATTAACAGGTCCTAACATGGGTGGTAAATCAACTCTTTTACGTCAGGTTTGTATATTATTATTATTTTTGGTTTTATTATTAAAAGGGTATTTATTATAACTAACTATGTCAACTACCTCTACTACCTCCCTCTATTACTACTACTATGATTATATTATATTTTTTTAGAATTGTATAGCTATCATTATGGCACAACTTGGATGTTATGTTCCTGCAAGAAGATGCTTATTGACGCCTTTCGATAGGATTTATACGCGTATTGGGGCCAATGATAATATTTTAGCAGGGCAAAGTACATTTATGGTAGAGTTAAGTGAAACTTCAAGAATTCTGCATGAAGCCACCCCAAGATCTATGGTTATATTGGACGAATTGGGTCGTGGTACTTCTACATTTGATGGATATGCCATTGCCTATTCTGTTTTACATTATTTGGCCACATATATTGGCTGTCTGGGATTATTTTCTACTCATTATGGAATGCTAACCAAAGAATTTTCCAATAACCCAAATATTGCTCTTAAACATATGAGCTGTCATATGAATCAAAAACTTAGGGAAGTTACGTTTCTTTATAAACTTGTTCCTGGTGTATGCCCAAAATCATATGGAATGAATGTTGCTAGTATGGCAGGAATTCCAAATCAGATTGTGGAACGTGCAGAAGTTATTGCCAGGAAATTTGAAGAATCTTCAAAGTTTAATAATACGTTGACAGCCAATGGTTCAGATATACAATTATCCACTCAAAGTGATTTTGTATATTTGTTAAGATCAATTCAAAAAGTTAAACCCGTTATTTCAGACGTTGGTGATAGGGCAACGGATAATCAAACAGAGCATGAAAAAGAAAAGAGAGAAACTAGAATCCTAAAGGCATTAATTTGCGGCATAAAAAAGTTGTAGAATTTTTATGTAATAATAGATTTAGTATTATTTTTTTTCCCTTTAATATGTAATCCTTTTTTTTAATCTGTAATTATAATTATGTTAGATTTTTGAAATAAAGTTACTAACTTGGAGCGATTTTCGCTAAACCCAACTTGATTAATTCGTGTCATTTTATCAAGTGTCACAAAAGGTAATCAATCGATCAAAGAAAATTTTTTTTTCTGAAATAAACAAAATGTTTAATTCAACACGTATAAGAAGCTTTATAATAAGCACAAATCAAAAAAAAAAATTTTTTCAACAATATCAATCTTTTGCTTCAACCACCACAAATAGTAACAACTACAACAGCTTATCAAATTTTAAAAAAAACACATTTAATTATATTATAGGGTCTTTAGTGTTGATTGGACTTGGTGGCTCGACGTATTCTTATTATAGAAAAAAAACAGGAGGAAATTTATTGAATGGTGGTGGTAGCGGCGGTACAAACGAGATTGAAAATTCAGATACGCCACGACATAATCATAAGATAATAAGAACATTGGAAGAAGCTACATTAAAACTTCGAGAAAATCAAAAATCATTTTTATTTCAACGAAACAATGGTGTACTAAGATATGATACTAATCAACTGGCATCAAATGAACCAATTGAAGATACAAAAAGTGAAGTATACTATTCGTCATCATCATCACCATCACCATTAACATTAACATTAACATCACCAACAACATCAGCATCAACAAATGACAAAAATAAAAGAAACACAGGAGACCAATTATTTTTTGGAGTTTATGATGGACACGCTGGTTATTCCACATCACATTTATTGGCCAAAGCATTGATACCAAAAGTCAAAGAAGAATTGGACAAAGCATATTTAGGAATTGAACAATATTCGAAATTTATTGGACAAAAGGCCAAATTGACAGAATTAGCGATCCAAAATGCTTTTGTAAATCTGGACAAAGACATTGTATACTATTCGGTTGAACGGTCTTTGAACAACGAGAAATCAACGTCGATCGATGAAGGAATTTTAACTGCTTTATCGGGATCGTGTTCATTACTAGCCTATATTGACACATTGGAAAAAGATTTGTACGTTGCATGTACGGGAGATTCTAGAGCTATCATTGGCCATAAAGATTTAGAAACTGGCAAGTGGGTGGTATTACCATTAAGCGAGGATCAAACTGGTAGAAACAAGAAAGAAATTGAAAGAATTAATAAAGAGCATCCAGGTGAGGAAGTAATAAGAGCTGGAAGAGTGTTTGGAGGTTTAGAACCAACTAGAGCTTTTGGTGATGCAAAGTAAGTTTTTTTGGAATAATAATAGTAAAAATATATAGAAACTAATAAATAAATAAATAAATATGTTTTTTTTAAAAAGATATAAATGGGATAAAAATACAAACGGGTTGATATATTCAAAATATTTTAAAGAAAAACAACATGTACCAGGTGGAGAAAAATTCAAAACACCACCTTATGTCACAGCTAAACCAGAGATAACACATCACAAAATTCAATCAAATGACAAATTTTTGGTAATAGCAACTGATGGATTATGGGATAGGTTGAGTAATAATGAAGTTGTGGAATTAGTTGGAATGTTATATGATCAGAAAATAAATCCAAAACAAAATAATAACAACAGCAACAACATGAATAACAATATAATTCAAAATGATGTTGAGAAAAATTTTGTTTTGGAAGATGAAAATGCATCCACTCATTTAATAAGAAATTCACTTGGGGGAGCTGATAATAAAATTTTATGTTCACTTTTATCAATACCACCGCCAATGTCCAGAAGACATAGAGATGATATTACCGTGACTGTAATATTTTTTGAAAATTAATTAATTACTCTTATAAGTTCGGTTGTATATTTGTTTATAATACATATATACATACACCACACAACATACAGCAACTAGCAATCCAAAAAAACCACATTTCATATATATAATATATATATATTATATAAAAATAAATAAATACACATAACACACAACAATCATCAAAAACCAGCCGTTATACACACACCTTGAAAAAACAGATAATGAAAATAATACAATTTTTTTTTTTATTATTAAAAATAAAACTTCAAAAAAAAATGGGAATTTTTTTTGATTTTGATACTATTACAATTTTAATATATAATATAGCTTTAACCACCAATTGTTAGTCATTGTGATTACATGGTTGACACCATAATTTATTAATATTACATTGAAATTTCTCAAATATTTATCATTTTAATTGTACTTGAACAGATCTATAGAAATCATCATTGTTGTTATTATTATAATGATTTTTATCATTGCTATCATCGTTATTATTACCACTATCTCCAACATCACTATTATCATTATTTTTATTGTTAACATTACCACCACTATTATTACTACCACTTAACGGAGGTAAAATTGGAGGTGGTGGTGATGATTGTTGTTGTAAATATCCACCAAGATGTCCACTTAGATGATGATGTGGACTAGATAGAACAGGTGATGATGACGACGACGAATAATGATGTTGAAATTGTTGCGGAGTTGGTGGTGATAATCGAGGAGA